ACTCCCGGATTGGTGTACCTTCATCCATCTTGCAAGTATACAATTTGGACTTCAAATATATCCGATTAGTTAGAGTCTTCGTCATGAAATTCGTCTCCAACTTTGTTCACACCTCGGCTGCCGTTTCCTCACCATCAACCAAGAAAGCAACATCTCTTTCAAGGCATAGAATGATAGACGCTCGTGCCTCAAGATCTAGCTCTTCCCAATCCTCGTCAGACATATCTATGTGCTTCTTCTCCTTTCCCGCCAATGCCTTGTGCAACTTTTGAAAAATTAACAAATTTTTCATTTGCATTCTCCAATATGAGAAATCATTCTTCCGATTGAATTTCTCTATCTCATACTTCCCAATCTTCACCGTTCCTCTAGTAGACATGATTTATCTACTTGTTTACCGGAAATAAACCAACAAAGTTCACTTGAAAATTTTCACAAACACCTTGTGTGCACAATAAAGTTCAAGCCAACCCACCAAAAATCGAAGCTTAACCACCCTGATTTAACAAGATGCTCTGATACCAAATTGTTGGGAAAACACCCTTCCAAAGATGCCCAAGATCAAACAAACTTGAAATGTGAAAAAAAATCCCAAACCACTTTAGAAGATAAGAAATTGGGGAAGAAATGATTTCAATAAATAAATGAAGAACAATGGATTGGATTACTTGAACAAGCCTCAAGTTAATCTCCAAGAAAGAAAAAATGGCTTTGAATTTATACCCAAGAAGAACAAACTCTTACTTGATAAATTATATCCAAGCCTCACTCTATTTTTCTCTCTCAAAATCGGGTGTTAACTAATGAAGGGGAAAAAACCAGCTTTAAATAGTGTATCGGGGGGCCTAGGCGCCAAGTTCCTGCTAGGTTTCAGCAATCGGGGTGGCGCCTAGGCGCCAAGTTCCTGCTTGGTTTCAGCAATCGGGGAGCCTAGGGGCCCATGAGTGGCGCCTAGGCGCCATTCTCTTCCTCTTCAACTCCTAAGTTTCTCACACTTAATCTTTCTATAAATTGTTAAAAGTGCACCTTACTCGAGTTTTCCTGATAACAATTCTTGAATAATTATTATTTACATAATGTCAATGAAACAGATGAATTCATTGGACTTGATCATAATTTGAAAAAAAAAAAAAATACATCCATGAGATCAAGTCTGACCAAAGCTAAAGAGCAATAGCATTCCACTTATCTGCATCATCAAATAATGCCTTTCCAGGCAGGAGATTGTGTATAGTATTAGAAATTCTAGAGAAAGTTAATAATTTGTCCTTCATTACACCAAATGTACTTATCAGCTCACAAAAAACAGTTAATTCACATAAAGCTGAATTTAATATTTTTATCGCTAAACTAATCATTGACAAGTTCTGTATTTGTTAAACCAATATAACTATGATTATCATAAACAACCATGCGCAATCGATTAATAAGAACACCTGAAGGAGATGTCAATACGATGAGCTAGACATGAGTGGACACTATTATTGAAGAAAAAAGATATGAAATGTTTCCTTGTCTATCCAGTAGAGTGTATCAAGAACACCTGAAATAGAGATTGGATTTTCTCCTCCGGTAAAGGTGGCTGCTCTTTTACCAATTATATAGCAATTACATTGGGTAGACTTCATTAATCATAATCAGAAAGTCCAATCACATTTATATAAGTATTATTTACATGTCCTTGTTGAAATTAAAAGTCCTCAATAATAAAAAATAAATTACGGTTTTCAAAAATATTTCCGGGAATAACTTAAAATTAAGGCATAAGTTGATTAACTCTAGCATTGTATTTTTGTTTCAAAATTATTATAATTGTTGAGCATGTGTAACTTTTCTGCTGGCTCTAGTACAATATATGACATAAAAACGAAGGAATATATTCAAATTGAATGAACTACGAAATTAATTTGATTTTACTATCTATTCCCCTCCTCTTCGTCTCGGTTATTTAGACTTTTTTTTCCCCATTGACCGTGATAAAGAAAAATGAAAATTGATGGACAAATGAAGTTGTTCACTGAAAGTATGATCTATTGGTAGAAAATTTTACTAATATATTTAAATATCTAGCTAAGTAAATTTACATAATTAAAAGATGTCCTCTTAAAGGTAATGTTCTTTAGACTTTGTGGGTATTCTGTTTGTAACAAAGGCTGCTAAATAAAGTAGCTTTGTTTACTCTAATATTTGAAAATACAAAATGATAATGCTCCATTTATCCATCAAAAGATTATCATGATGAAACAAGCTAAAATCGAGACAATTTGTAAATGGAAAATGCTCCTCTGCCAGAAGAAGCATGGCAAAGGCTTTGACACTCACTCATAGCCACCAGGCCCCGCATGAATAAAAAATTGGGAGGAAGAGGTGGTCCCACTTCCAAATGTGTGTAATGGTCAGACCCTCTGTCATGTTTCTTTTGGCGGAGGAGCATGGTTCTTTGTAAATACTAGTCTTCAATCTTGTTTGGGGTCCCAACCTTAAAAGAAGAGTAAGTTGATTCTCAATCACAGTCATTTCCAATGCGTGGAACCAACCTATACTGTTTCCTATGTATATTTTATACACCTTTTCTGCTAATTATGGTATTTGTAACTGCAATTTGCAGAGTTTTATGTTTAGTTTTTGCCTAAACTATAAATTATACATATCCCAGTTTTATACTCCTTATTGCCCATAAAGTAAATCTGTTAACTGTAATCAAGTGGTACCAATTGCAGGTCAAGTGGTACAATTGGCCTTCATTTCCTTCTATATAACAACTACCTATTAATTTGTATGTACGTTTTCTAATTTAATATTTAGTCAACGATGCCTTTTCAATTTATTTTATATAATTGCAGTTCATTAATGAAGTTGTCATGCTCTCACAAATCAATAATAGAAATGTTGTAAATTAAGCTAGTAGGATGTTGTCTAGAGACACAAGTTCTTTTGCTAGTTTGTGAACTTATTTTCAATAGAATCCTTCTTGACACTAACCATGATGAGAGTAGTGAATTCTCATCTACATGGAATGTGCGCTCAAAAATTGCGGGGGAAGTAGTAGGGGCACTTTTCTTATCTCCATTATGCAACTTTCCTTCCCATATATCGTAGGACATAAAATCTATATACTAACAAAATTCGAGAAGTATGCAACAAAAGTTTTAGACTTTGGAATTTCAATGTCAATTTCAGTGGATTAAATTCATTTAACTAAACTAGTGAAAGGGACATTCAGATATATTGATCTATAGTACTTCCAATCAAATCAATTTACTCTTTTAGAAAAGATTGATGTTTATAGTTTTCGGGTTGTTCTTGTTGAGTTATTGACTAGGAAAATACGATACCTCTAGATAGAACATAGGAAAGAAGTTTATCAACAAGATTTTGTTATGCATAGAACAAAGCATTCTTGAAACAATCCTAGATGCCGAAGTTTTAGATCAAGGTAAGAAAGAAGAGATAATTGTGGTGGTGAAATTTGCACAAAGGTGCTTGAACTTTAAGGGAAGAAAAGGCCACCTATGAAAGAAGTAGCCATGGAGTTGGGGGGTGTTAGAATACCTCATACGCTTTTGACTCATGAAGATACTAATTTCAAGATTTAAATATTCGCAAAGCAAGTACTTTTAACAGCACCATCTCATCATCATATGCTTATATATTACTTTAACACAATTTGATGTCCCTAAATAGTTTTTTAAACATGGAGAGATGTTTCATATTATGTGCAGATTTTTCTAAGTCGTTTCCTCGCTTGCTACTAGTTTGTTTTTGTAATTGTCAATTTGACAACTAAAAAACGTTCTCTAAATTAAAGTAGGTTCAATTCCATAATGTCAATGAAACAGATGAATTCATTGGACTCGATCTAGCTTAAAACGTAGTCATAAATTAGAAAAGAAAATATCCATGGAGAATCTTAGTAATTTATCCTTATTTCCTTTCAACAAATGTAATTATCAGCTCACAAGAAATAGTAAATTTACATAAAGTCGAATTTAATATTTTATAATTAAACTAACATTGACAATCTCAGTTTGCGTTAAACCAATAAACTATGATTATCATAAACAACCATGTGCAATCGATTAAGAATAACTTAGTGGACCCTATTAGCGAGCACTTTGACATCGTCTTATATTGGCCTATTGCTAATTTTCTATAATTTTTCCGTATAGATCAATTACATGATTTTCCCATTCAAGGAGAGGGAATTATCAATATTTTTTGATCTGGCATCATAGATGAACTGTTTGATCTGGATTTTTTTGGTACAATCATGCTCGGTGTACACAAACTTGATAGTTTGCCACATGGCAAACTGTCAATCGCCAATTTATTATTATTATTTTTTAAAGCAACAGTTTTACGCTAACAATTTTTTGAGAATAAAGGCAACGTTGACAATAATGTAAAGGAATGAGCGTGCAAATGGTAAAATCCTTCTTGAAATGGATAAATTGGTAATTCACGTTTCAAAGTCATGGACGAAATTGAAAATGAAAATTCAGGTTTTCGGGATCATTACTTGGAAGGACGCTGATAATGTAGAATGTCAGTTTCATGTCGCGTTTAATATCTTCTTTACTTATTAAGTTTCATGTTGTGTTTAATATCTTCTTTACTTATTGCAAATGGTGACGAACCTTTTTCCCGTCAAGCTCTTTTTAATATGCGTCAGTAAGTTAAGAAGGTGGAGACTTCATTATCATAAAGTCCAAACACAAAGTATTATTTACAAGTTCAACCACGAGGAAGGATTTTTTGTTTAACAAATAACGTTTTCTTTGATTGTTTATATTCATCTTTAATCTTGTTATTGTTGACTGCCGAATATTATGGTCTCGATCGGCGCCCTCCAGCTGCTTACAATATTTTATTTATTATTTGCTTATTTAATCAATGGCGACTTTGACATTATCCTGAATTAGCATATTGCTATTTTGTCTACTAGTTTTCTATATAGATTAGCTTAATCTTTCAGAACTTGGAAAGCTAAGCATGTTCTTGCATATCTTCTGCTTGCTTTCACTGGCGGTAGCACTGCAGTCAATCGCCCAAGGCACGGCAAATTCCTCTGCTAAGCCTGGCTGCGAAAGCAGATGTGGAAATATAGAAGTTCCATACCCGTTTGGAATCGGTAACGGATCGGTTTGTTCCCTGAACTCGCGGTTTAATATTCAGTGTGATACTTCTGTTAACCCTCCAAAACCCTACCTTGGTACGACAGGCATTGAGGTTACCAGAATATCAGAATCTGCAATCTATCTTAAGTACTTTGGCCGGATGGCGATTGCCTGCTATGATATGCAATTCTATAACAAGACTACGGATTTACCTTTAGAATTGAACTTTACATCTGTTCCTTTTACCTTGTCTGATGCAAATCAGATCATATCTTTTGGCTGTGATGACTTGGTTAGTGTACAAGGAGTATCCAATTCAAACCGAAGTAACTTCATCGATGGTTGTGTGTCGTCCTGTTCTCAGCCTGATGGGATCGGACAATGTCCAGGCAACGGCTGTTGCCAGACCTCCATACCTAAAGGCACTGTTTCCCTCAGTCCCAACCTGTCTGACGTCCACAGTCATTGGCGAAGAGAAAGCAAACTTTTCCCTTGCAGCTTTGCCTTCGTTGGAATGATGAATACTACTATCCGTAATTTTACTTTCCGTTTATCAGATCTCAATGATTCAATAACATTTCTAAATAATACAATGTTAACCGATATGCCATTGGTGTTGGACTGGAAGATTGGTTCCAGAAATTGCACCGAAGTACAAAATTCGACAGATTATGCGTGTCAATGGAATAGTAAATGCGTTGATTCCGATACCGGCATTGAAGGATACCGCTGCAGCTGCTGGGAAGGATACGAGGGGAACCCTTATCTCAGTCCAGGATGCACTGGTTAGTAATTTTATCCTTATTTAACTAAAGTATTGGGTATTATAGTGTAAGCAGTCTAACAATTGTTTGTGGGTGATGCTTGATCCGAGGCTAGATATCGATGAATGCAAAAATGAATTCTATAATTCATGTGTCTCAAATGGGATTTGCACCAATACTCAGGGTTCTTATAGATGTTCCTGCCCCAAGGGTTATTATGGTGATGGAATGAAAGATGGTAGAGGTTGTTTCCGGGTGCCAGGACCCAAAGTGGCAGTAGGTAATCTTTATCAATATACTCTTGTTTGTCTTGGAAATTTTGCTACCATGTCAACTTTTTTATGAGAGAGGAGAAATTCTATCAATCAAGCAAATTCCTTTTGTATCTATCCTATAGCCCAAAATTTTTGTTAATGTAAAGTATAAAATCATGAAAAATCTAATTTTGCATCCCCTTGTACAATTATGATTTCTATTTCAGGAGCAGGTTTGGGCTCTGTAATGGGATTACTTCTACTATTATCAACTTGCTTCTGGTTGCACAAGTTTCAGAAGAAGAGAAAGATCAAAATGCGCGATGAAAAATTCTTTAAACGAAATGGAGGACTTTTGCTACAACAACAAATATCAACCAACGAACACATACTCGAGAAAACAAAACTTTTCACTTCTAAAGAACTAGAGAAAGCAACCGATCACTTCAATGAAAGTCGAATACTTGGCCAAGGAGGACAAGGGACAGTTTATAAAGGTATGTTATCAGATGGGAAAATCATAGCAATCAAGAAATCCATATTGGTAGATGAAAACCAAGTGGAGCAGTTCATTAACGAGATTGTCTTACTCTCACAAATCAATCATAGGAATGTAGTGAAGCTACTAGGATGTTGTTTAGTAACAGAAGTTCCTTTGTTAGTTTATGAATTCATCTCCAATGGAAACCTTTTCGATCATATCCATGATGATAGTCCTGACTTCCCATTTTCATGGAATATGCGCTTGAAAATTGCACTAGAAGTTGCCGGAGCACTTGCCCATCTTCACTATGCAACTTCTCTTCCAATCTATCATAGAGATATCAAGTCTAGTAACACACTTTTGGATGAAAAGTATGTAGCCAAAGTTTCAGACTTCGGAATTTCAAGGTCAATTGCAGTCGATCAAACTCATGTAACAACCATAGTGAAAGGGACATTCGGATATCTTGATCCCGAATACTTTCAATCCAGTCAATTGACAGAAAAAAGTGATGTTTATAGTTTTGGAGTTGTTCTTGTTGAGCTTTTAACTGGGAAAAGGCCAATTTCTTCCGATAGAACAGAAAAGGAAAAATGTTTGGCAACACGATTTCGATCATGCATGGAAAGGAACAATCTTGAAACAATTCTTGACTCTCAGATTTTAAAGCAAGGTGGGAGAGAAGAGCTTATTGCAATTGCTAAACTTGCACAAAGATGCTTAAATTTGAAGGGAAAGAATAGGCCAACTATGAAAGAAGTAGTATTGGAGTTAGAAGGTATTAGAATGTCTCAAACATTTTTGACTAACATAGAAACTACATTCCAAGGGGTAAATTTGCACAAAGAAAAATCAATGTTGCTCTCGAATGATGACTACACATGGACAAGTACGATTGACAGCACCATCTCATCATTAGATGTCACTCCCTTAGTGGTTAACACAATTTGATTCTTAATGCCATTTATCAGCATTTATGTGTTTTTGTTATGTTTGTTGATGAAAGAAATGTTAGATTTTTATTTTTGGTATAGAGTTTATGGCCTTTTGTTGATTTCCAAGTCATGAAGCAGATGCTAAGGTTACGTGTGCATTGTTCTAAACTATTTAAGAAATATATATTTTATGTTTATCGTATCAGTTATCATAGAAAGTTTACTTTTTAAGACTATTGTAAATTGTAAACTCATGAAAACTTTTGACACATGTACTGCCACGTTGGTGAATGCCTAAATCTACGTTGTAGCTTGTGAGTTTTGATATTTTTTTGCATATATCTATTAGGCCGAACGATGAAATCACAAAACTGCAAAATCAAAACAAAAACGTTTTTTGAAATCGTTGGTTTGATTCCACGTAGATCCGTCAACATTTTGATTTTGAACTGAACCAAACCACTATGAAATAGCTTGTTAAGGTTTCAATCTTTTCAAACTGTTTCAAACAGCCAAACCGTTTACCAAAAAAAATTTGAAAATAAATTGGTCCAAATTTTATCTAACTCAATTAAAACTTAACACGTTTCGATTAAAAAGATACATCCATATTAACATCTTGTTTGAGCCCCATTCTTAGGAAAAATGTATTTTTAACAATGTTTTGACATTATTTCAATCATAAATTCTTCATTAAAATAATATTACACGTAAATTCAAAAAATTTCCTTATTTTTTTATATTAACATCTTGTTTGAGCCCCATTCTTAGGAAAAAATGTATTTTTAACAGTGTTTTGACATTATTTCAACCACAAATTCTTCATTAAAATAATATTACACACAAATTCAAATTTTTTTCTTATTTTTTAACCACACATTTCACATCACTACACTATTCAAAAAGGGCGCACAAACAAGGTCTAAATATAATTTGATTAAACTCAGTTCGATAATTATACATCTCAATTAATTAAATCATATCCAAATTCCAATCAATCATTACAATTGAGAATGTAAAACTCTCAAATTGGATGAAGTGTTGAACAACTACTGCTAAACCATATTCATCGATTCTCTATTACAATTAAGCAGACAATTAAATCTAAATTGTAATTCAAACTTGCACATTTTATTTCCTTCTACTAACAATTTTCTCAAACTTTACCCAAATTCAAGTCAGATTATCTATTTTTTTGGTAATTTTTTCTATATTTTTATTGGTAGTTATGTTGCTTTCTTCTAATAATTGTTGGGCTCTCTTAAAGTAATTCGCTAATATTTGAATAGAATAGAAGTATTGAATGATTCATAAAAAGTCACAGCAATTAGGTATTATTGTATTTGATTTTTATTTTTTATTTTTTCCTTTATTAGTTATTTTATATCATTTAACTATAAAAAATGAATTCACGTAATATATTTTATATTTATGAAGAGAATGAATTGTGTATTGCAATTGCAGATGAATGCCATTAATATCAACTAAGAGTTTAAAATATTTATATGTTGTTGCATTATAATGATTATAATTATATTATTTTGTTTTGTAATTTTTTAATAATACAATTTATGTTTCAACATGAAATTTTAGACTATTATTAATGATTTAACTTATTCGATATATATTAATTTTTCATTGTTAAATCGTGGTTTTAAACCGGATCATACTGAAAAAATGGTTTGGATTGATTTGGTTTATAAATTAAAGTGGTTTGGTTTGGTTTGGAAAAATTTCAAACCGCTTTAAATGGTTTCATTTAAAAATTTGTCTCAAACTATCCAAATCGAACTATTTCCACCCCTAATTTCTATATCCTCATCAAACTTGTTTATAGCTACTGTACTATTTTTTACCATTCCCATATCAACTATCCAATTGTCATCCCTAGAAAAAGTTATGGTTGAATTTTAGTTTTTATTTTGAAAAAACCCAAAAAAAGGCATAAATCTCTACCACATCAAAAATGTAGTTGAGTTAGTAAAGAAAAATTGGTGAATAAATAATAGTTATTAATTAATATAACTTCGCTATACTAGATGTATATATATTAAATATCGAATTCATATAACTAGATATAAACTCGATGCCTTCTAAATCTTGTGATCCACCTCAAAGTTAAGTTTCGTAATTTGCTAAGTAATCATTGACGACCTTTGCCATTGTTCAACAATACCAGATGTTTGATGATTGGAATGTCAACTTGCTATCCATCCAATTGAGCATACATGCATTTTGTGATGCCTAAAAATCGTTCAGTAAATTAACTGAATATGATTGGACAATATTAAAAAAATAAAAATGCATAAAACCGTCATTCATAACATATTAAAGCGAGCATATTAAACATGTCCATTTGATGGATATGATAACCTCGAATTGTTGAATAACACAATGTTAGCTATTGTCTTCTTATATTAAGTTGGAGTTCTTTCAATTTTTCATTTTTATATACAGATGTGGTATGAAAGAAACTAGTTGGCTAATGAGTTTGTTAACCTAATTTATGATTTCCTCTGTGAGATTAAAGTAAAGCCTAAACTTATCCAGAAAATCTTGGCCATTTATAAGGTCAAATCAGTTGCCCTAAACTTGCAAGTAGTTGGACGGAATTAAATCTTCTTGATTGGTTCACATGTATATTGACTGAGTTTTAATTTTTATTTTTTTATTTTTTTCTTTCCTTATATAAATATATGTTGTATAACAATTATACCTACACATAAAAATGATAAGTTGGTATGACGTATTGTGTTCGTGTTAAACATTGGATCAAGGTCGAATAATTTAGATGACAAGTGTTCACCTAAATTTTCAACCAAGATCTCCTTGCTATATATTATCTCACGGAATATTAATAACATATAAAAGAAAATAACAAAATAATTCTTATCTAGAATATGTAAACAACTACAACACATGCTGTTAATTTTGATGTTCTTTTTATCTTGTAATTTGTTCAGTCCTTGTAATTTGTTCGACTGAAATATAATACATATTATGCATTAACCGATTATTTGACATCGAATACATAAGAATAAGTTACATTATTAACTTTGGTTTTCATCTATATTTGCATACAAGGCACACTTGGACCCATTGACAGTATTTTTGAAAAGTCAAAAGTTCCTTCTAAAATTAAAAATTTTATTTTAAATATGTTTGGATAAATTTTGGAAGTGCCGTCGTCCGATTAGAAGAGCTTTTAAATACAAATGATCTAAGATTATATTCTCAAAAAACTCTTCTACAAAAAATAGAAATCTAATAATTAATTTTTCTTTTGCAAATTTACCATTTTTTCCTTTAGTTTTCCATGATTCTTATCAGAATTCAAAATTATTATTATTATTACTTTGTGTGTTTGGCTTTGTTACCCTCAATTCATAGTTAGTCTATTCAATAGAATGAAATTGTTTGTAATGATAATATTGTACAAACTCATCAGCCCATAAAAAAAAAAATGAAAATAAAAATACAAGATAACATTGCGATAGAACTAAAATGACATTCAAGTAGACAAACCGTCAACAAAAAGTTACTTTTAAGCATAATCAAACGTCTTCAATATCTTGTTTGATTTATTCTTCAATTTTTTTCTCATCTTAAATCCCAAATAATATTTTTTTTAACAAAATCCCCAATGCTAATTGAGCCCTTGTTTGCACATTATTTCTTTTTTCTTTTCAAAAACACTTTTTTTTCTTTTTTCTTTTCAACCACATATTTTTTAATAAAATAAATCATACATAAACTTAAAACTTTTTTTTATTTTTTAATCATATATTTTTATCAATTTACTATTTCAAAATGTATTTTTACAATTAAATGTAGTTCAAATAGTCTAGTGTGTCGACTTAAAAATAAAAGATTGTGAAAAAAAAAAATGAAGGCCTTCAATGGAATAAATTAATAATAGGAAAGAAAAGGACACTGAACCCTTGTGCGATTGTCTATATAAATCCTCTCAATTGCCATTTACGAACTGAAAGTGAAAACGTGTGAAAATGGAGAATGCAAAGAGTCTGGGTTCGTATAGTGACGGAGTAGACGCCGTGTACCGGCCGCTGCCACCACTCTACTTGGCTTTTATGGTCATTTGGTTCTTCTCTGCATTTTCTTGGGCCTTGAATACCTACAATTATCGCCATTTTCAGGTCAATTATTATTTTTCTTCTCGAATTTAATTAAATTTATTTTATTTCTAGCTGCTGATAATCTGTGAGAATATAGGATAAAATGGTTGAATTAAAAAAAATTCAGTTGAATGGGATTCAGCTAAATTGCTAAAGGTCCAATCTTTTCAGTTCCATTTTTGAACTCTTGATTATTTTTTTTGGGATTTATTAATTTTGTCGTGGTTTCTCGAATTTTCTCTGTTTAGAGCATCCATAAATGATGTATATGATTGATCATTAGTTTTTGACATTTTTTTCCAATTTAATGGGATTTTTTTGCTTCTGGTTAATGTTTTATTGCTAATAATATTTGTCATTGTTGTTAATTTATTATTCCTCTGTGATTGTTCTTTATACGTACTAGAACAGACAAATAGATTGCAGTGGGCGCTTGCCTCTGTTCCATTGATAAAAGCCTTGCAACACGCTTTATCTTTCCTTTTCTGGTACGCTTTTATACTTGAAAGTTGAAACTATGTAACTTTGGTGCTAATAATGTACAAGTTTTTTTGTTACTGTTATTTAATATGCTGTTTATTGATCATGTTTTGCTTCAGGAATTCGTGTTTTTACACGCACGTATGCTCTTTATGGATGTCTTTCGGAGCCTATGTTATTGGAGTGCTATTTCAGACAATTACTTTTGTATCTTTCATGCTTATTTCTAATGGCTATTGCATCACGTGTGAACACCTTTCGGCGTCTGAGCGGCGAATGACGTCTGCTCTGGGGTGTGTCTTTTACCTGACTCTAGTTGGTTACAGAGCTTCTATACCTTACTTCTTTGTGAGTTTCCTCATTAGTTCACTTACATTTAGGGCAATAAAGGCACTGTTGGTCACTTAAAACTTCCAGCAAAGTTTCATTTTATTTGCCAATTTTATTTATTTATTTACTTTCTGTTTGAGTTACATACCAATTTGGATTCTGTTAGTAAAATTAACCGTTGTCCAACATGATGTACAGAACATACAGCTTGGGAATCTGCCACATAGGGAAACTAGTTGATTTTAATATCAAAAGCTAATTTTGTGATGTAATTGAAACAGAGAGGAAAGTTGGGTGATCAAGTTGAACTTAGTTGAAAGTTGAATGACCAACAATGTTTTTACCCCTTATTTTTATGTTCGAACCGTGCATGATGGTGATGTAATGTTAAATTGGGTGGCAATACGACTGTACTCTTATCCTAATTTAACAATGAGGATTATGTTTGCTGTAAAACAGGTACTGCTGCTGCTCAACTATTTTATAATTTTCTACATGATATTCTGCCATGTATCTCAGAACTTAATAGTTCTGCGGGAACAGTTGAGCTTTATAGAAGATGAGGATGTCCACGAGATGCATGATGCAGTTTATAAAAAATACATCATGTTCAAGTAAGCATATTCACATTCTGTTGAAACATATAGTTGGACGTGCTGCTTAAAAGTATACATATTTATTTATGTTTACTTTGACTTCAACATGCCCTCAAAGGCTTAAGATGTGGAATCTTCATAAATGGATGGCATCGGGACTTGAAGTAATGACATTTATCTTTGATACCTTGTTGAATCACTTTTCGTGAAAGTTTAGTTTAAAGGAAGAAAAAAAAATTATTTATTTTTCGTTTGACAAATTTTTATCACCTAAGTTTCTGTTAGGCAACTTGCTTTATCGCTCATAAATTTCCATTAATAGATTTGATTTCTAAAAAAGAAAAGATCTAATGAGAAAAAAATGCTGACCAGCGTTTCATTCTTTACATTTTCCAGGAAATTTCAAGGAGCGATGCACATTGTGGCTGTGGCAGAACTTGCGGTATGAACCATCTTTTATTGACATATTCTTCAAACAAAAATAGGAAATTCTAAAGATTGATCCATGCAGTAATTGAGCATTTTGTTGTCCAGATTTTCATAAACATGGATACGTCATTGGAAAATTACTGGATTCGGTTGTTGGTTCGAGAATGGGCACAATTTTGCATCTTTCTGTACATAGGGTATGTAAGAATTAATATGGGTTTTCCTGAACAAAATTCATATTCTCCAGCAATCTAACGTGATTGAACCCTATTTATGACAGATGGACTTTCAGGTCACAACAGTTGACACCTCGTTTCTCTGTTATGCCTAATTTGAAGTCTAAAGTAGAAATAATGGTGCCTCCAATTTACAGCATTGTAAGTTAAAAAGATTTAACCTTTGAGTACTTCATGTATTCCATTAATGATTCTTTTTGCCTTGTATACATTTCAATAATCTTAGTGACATTAAGTTCTCTCATTTTGTTGTGCCAACTGTTAGTACTGGAAAATTTCCCAAAAAATAGAGAAATTCTTGATAGAAAACTTGAAATGAAGTAGTAATATACTTTTATATATAGGATTTATAGTGAAAAATCCCCCTAGAAACTTGTCCATGTGCACTATAAACCCCTGTCCCAGAAAAACCTCCTGTTTGAAATCTTTTGTGCGAAGAATCCCCTACCATCAAGATCCGTCAAATTTGCCATTGTAAACAGTAAAAAATGCTAAAATTAATAATAAATAATTGTAGTTGCAGTCCCCCAAATTTATTTTTTAGCAAATTATACCCAATTTTTTTATATGAGCCATCCACAATCCCGAATTTTTAAAATTTTATTTTCTCCACCACCCCACCCACCTCACCTCATCTTCTTCTCCACTCCCAATAAAAAAGACAATGATATACACACTTTGCCACTTCTTCACCCACCCCATGACATCCCAGAAATTATACTTATGCTTTAGTGGCTGCATAAACTGCATAAAGAGGATAAGGGATAAAAATGGCAGCACCAGACCGTATATTAACAATAGCCTCCTTTTTACTCTCCACCATCCCTGGTAAATTAGCTTGAGTAACATTTGTAGTGCCCTCTACATTAACCTTAATCAAATCATTTAATAATTTTACATCTACTTCATGGAAAACCTTGCATAAATCCAAGAAACCCCAACATTATTATTCAAAATCCTGATATCCAGTCCTTGAAATGTGTCTTTAATTCTTCCTACTCCATCATTCAAATCACTGGGAAAATCTACCACCACAGTCTTAATCTGGATCGGTCCCTTTTGGACTTGATTAAGTCCGAAACTTCCTGGAGCTTATCCGGTTTCCGACCCACAAGAACCAGGTTCAGCCCCTTCTGGCCAACTGAAAGCAAAGGCTTGGAATTTTATTGAAGAGTTGTGAATGAACATTTGAAGAGTGATAAAAACCCCAGCGCTAGTAGCGGAAGAAGCCATGTGAAAGAAAATAACATTTTAAAGATTTGGGATTGGGGATGGTACGTATAAAAAAAATTGGGTATAATTTACAAAAAGATTAAAAGACTGTTACTGCAATTATTTATTTTTAACTTTGACAATTTTTATTGTCTTTAATGGCAACTCTGACAGATTTTGACAGCAGGGAGGGTTTTTTGCACAAAATGTTTCAAATAAGGGGGTTTCTTTGATTTTCAATAGATAGGGGGACATATCGCAAATGGACAAGTTTTTAAGGGGGTTTTCTGCTATTAATCCTTTATATATATGTCTGTGTGTGTTGGAATGATTGTTACCGAGTGGAGCTTCAGAATGTGGAGGTTTCATTTACTAAATTCTTCCACTTATGGACATTTAACCAAGTCAAAATCATGGAGCACTTGATTAGACACTTCATTGTTTAATACTACTTATCATTTGCTATGAGTGCTTCTTCTTTTGTACATAGTTTGGAGGATTTTATAAAGTTGAATGAGCATGTGTGGCTGTGTTTAAAAGTAAAATAGAAGAATTTGAAGTTACTTATCTTACCAAACATGATTTTCTAAGTTACTTTTAACAAGACTTAATGTTCTAAAACTTGTGTTTGGCGCTGCTTAAAATCGAGACTAAAATTGAGTCACTTTATTGCAGGAAATGGATGCAGAAACTTTTAAAGATTTAAGTAGTCATGAATGGCACATTGGTGTAGTAAGTGATTCTTATTCGATTTTTAACAAATCCCAAGTTGCTGTTTGTGTAGCCCTTGTAATTTCACAAGCAAAAGTTCAATAATGTTATAGCCATCTTTGGTTAGTTCTTTCTCAAAGTTCTCTTTGGTTTCTTATAGCCAACATCGCCCTGTAAAGGAAGCTTAACGGAATCAGTCCTAGTCGTAATTCAGCACCCCCGTGATATAAGCCATCGACCGACTCTGATTAACTGAGTCCTGCTGCGAAGACTATTAAAACCCCTGGTGGCAATTCAGATTCAGTCACAGACTGGCACGAATGAAGAAATAAATTCATTTGGCGTAAGATGGATGTTTCTCGATTTTCAGCATTGAAATATGCTATTTTTTGGAGACTTGGGTTTACGATTTTCTTGTTAATTGGGTTGAAACCTGAAGCCCATTTGTACATTGAATTTTTCTAATGGAAAATGTACATTCTTCTTTTACTATGTTGTCTGCTTTGCATCCTTAGTTTTACTTCCTAGACATAGGCATGCTGCANCTAATGGAAAATGTACATTCTTCTTTTACTATGTTGTCTGCTTTGCATCCTTAGTTTTACTTCCTAGACATAGGCATGCTGCATTATGCTGCAATCTGTCATTCTAGTTCTGTCCTCTTTTTTTCCCGCATCCATTTCCTTTCCTTCATGCAATGAGTAGATTTAGTTGCTGTACTCGTGTTAGATAGCATGATATTGGTTGATGATGGCAAAGACTTTTACTTTATATGTCCAAGTAGTTGAATTAGAAAATCAAGAACGTGCTAAACTTCTGTTGGAGTCGTTAAACTTGTGCAACCATCAGGAATGACAATCACATGACGTAAACTGAGATTTGATGTTGATTACATCTTCTTTCCATTGATAACTTCTCAGCTTTGATTTGGTGCAATCAGACAATTAAATTCCATTTTCTTGTATGTCACTCATCTTAAATTTAGTGCAATGAGGTCAGTCAACATGATTTGTTTGCTAGTTACTCTGTCCATTGTCGTCAGTTTAAATAGCATAATATGTTGGTATAGAAGTTAGAATTGATGGATAGTTGGACAATGATTGTATGTTTTGTTCATTTTGCAGTATATTTAGAATGAAAATCCTCTTGTTTTAAAAATAGAAGGTTAATACAATCAATAAAAGTTAAGGACTAAAACGTTATTACCTAAGACATTGAGGACCATGCTACAATTTCTCCCTAGCAGGATGGACATTGGGCTAATGTTTTAAAAGACGTAGCTCGTAGCTAATGCCCAGACTCCAACCCCACGGGAACCCCAATCCCTAATTTCCCAATTATTCAAACGTGCGGTGTTTTCATGTAAAATCCATCCGTGCTCCTAGATACTAAAACGCGATATGAATTTACAGTTGATGGATTTCTGAAGTATAAGTTCAAGAAAGTGAGAACGAAAAAGAAAACAATAAGCAAATCTGACAAATGAGTGCAGGTAAATGTTTTCCAGTTTATCTTGTGCAGGTAAATTTTTTCAGTTTATCTTGTTAGCGTTTATGTTCTATTATCTCCTCTTCACTTGAATTTTGATTTTTAACATAATAATTTTTCCTGTGCAAATGTAAAAAATCATCAGTTCGTTTATTAATGTACGTATGTATTAAATCCAATGTTATGATAGAAAGATTGTTCTTTTGTATCTTGTTTGAATATTTATTATAATTTAAGATTATCTATGTCGAATTCCGGGTTGAATCTTCATCGAACAAATTATGCTGGTATGCTCATAGTTAAAGTTCATTGTCAAGTTGATCGTTTAGAGAACCAAATTTGAAAATAAAACTTTTATGTGCAAATTAGCTTAAACAATTCAAGTAAAATGAGCCTGGAGCTCCTTTCTTCCCCGTTTCTCCTTCATTTATTTGATTTGGATTCTCGGGTTCATCTCTCCATGGGCCTTCAGTTTCATATGGTAGAAAGATTGTTTTTAACCTGCGGGTTTAGATATACTCCATGAATGTGCAAGTATACAGGATTCTCTTTGTGTGCACCTCTCTTCTTTGTTCTATAAAATAATATGTCCAGCTGAATTTGCAGGTGGAGCGTTTGGTGGAAATAGAGGATTGAGCCCAGTACCACCAGAAAAAGGAGTATTCCCTCTAGACCACATGCATCTCTGCGACCAGGTACAATAGCCATGAAAGTAGTGCTAGGAATGTTCTTGGTGGATGCAGGATGGGACCCATTGTCCACAGCAGGCTGCAGGGGGGGGATTGGACTGTGAACTCATAGTTTTGGTTGGGAGTTCATGCTCGTCATCTTTGGGGTCGATTGCACCACGAAAGACTAGATGATTGACTTTCTTTGACAAGATTTAGGTTATTAGTCTTGTGAATATTCATGACAGGTTTATTTTTTCTTACTCAGTATTTTGGTTGTTTCAGGAGAAGAAAGACTATATCAATTGTTTAAAATCTGCTGGCCATAAATCTGAAAATTGTAGACACTTGTCTAAAAAGTACCTCGAATGCCGTATGGAAAGGTAAGTTCCCTTCAGTTTACTTTGACATATTTTGGTTTTTTCTGTAACTTGGTATCATATCTTATGCTTATCTTTTGTTCTTGTAATTATTCATTTTTAATGACATCTCGTTATTTTTACAACTGCTAAGCAATAATGTAACTTCAGTTATTTGAGAAAATGATATAACACTTCAAGTAAGTGTTCTAAATCACGATGCGACTTATTCTTGCTGCCATATTATGATTTTTCTGTCTTGTTGAATTCATACCGCCATTTAGTTGTAAGTGCTGATTTTAGGTCTTAAGGCAAGTTTTTGTGGGGACGTTTGCAGGAACTTAATGGCAAAGCAAGACATTTCGGAACTTGGATTTGCAAGGGAAGCCGATGTAGAGGAAAGTAGTAATGAAGAAGGATAGATAAATGAAAGAAAGTTAGTATTGCGTTCACACACTAAACATTTGCTGAATGATGAAATAAGAATTGATTGTATTATTTTTGGATCAAATAATGATAGCCCTGTTGTGCATGAGGTGTGTTTGTGTGTCTGAGTGCAGTAATTCATATTTGGCTTAGCTTAAAGTGGGGGAAAAAATGAAGAAAGCCAAAACTGGCTTCATTTTGTGTTTCTTTAGGGCAGTAGCTAGAGTGATACTGTCAAAAAAATCTTGCTTCTACAAAAGATGCAAAGCCAAACATGGGAGTGTGGAAAAAGTAATCATACCCTGAAAATATTGGAAATAAATAAGTTTCCTTCTGAATATTTGTTAAATGATCAAATACAATTTAGATGATTTCATTTTATGTAACGGGTAACCCATTCCATTTTTATTCATAAGTCTGGAATCCATGCAAAGAAAGAAGGTTGCAATAGATTGACATCAGGCCTTTGGCCTTTGCCCACTCCTACCCTTTTAAATTTCCTGTATCC